TATCTATAAAACTATCTCAAAATTATTTGGATAAATATATTATTTGAATAGAAAAATATGTACATGATCGTATACATAAACATTTGGGTTAATACTTATGATATAAAAAACAATAAATAAAGTAACAAATAAATACATAAAAAAAAGGAGGAGGACAAAAGTATAAAAAAATGAAAAATCACACTAATAATTACCAAAAAAATAATACTTTCTTTTTTAAAAGTTAAATACAGATTGTGTGGAAGAGGTAAGAAAAAAGCTAGAGGATGTTAGAAGACATATGTCTATATCTACACCAAGAAGAGAATGCGTAGACATTTTTAGGTATGCGGTCTTCTAAAAAACAAACAGTCTATGATATCAAATGTCTGCGCGCTGTCTACACGACGCAAACATAGGAGGTCAAGAAGATCTTTTATAGAAAAACAAACACCGCCTAAGGAGTTGAGTCCCGATGCAGTATCTAGTGTCGACTAGAGAACAGAGATATTGTGTTTTATGCAAAACACATTTTCTACTTTTTATTTCGTGGCAACCTTTTTATGTTTTGATTATTTGTAGGGACATACCAAATATTTGTTACTTTATTTATGAGGTAAAGAGTTTATAGTTTTTTTCTTTACAATTTGTATAACTGTCTATAGAAAACTAGAAGTATCCCAAAAAAAAATGGTAGTATGCAATTCAACAAATGATTGTGGACCACCTAAAATAAATTTAGGAAGTGAAAATTCTTTCACTTTAATATTTTTGTTTAAACCACTTTACAATATAATCTTTTTCTTTTTTTTTTAAATAATTTTTACAGGAATTTTTATAAAAATCAATAAATTATGTATTCGAAAATGAATAGCATAACATATACGGGCACTATAGCATGACTATTGAATCTTGATTAATTTAACAATGGGTTAATGTTACAGTGATCTTATGAATTTTTTACTTCATTTTTATTTGGTCATTAAAATATTTTTTTAGTATAGATTTCTAAAGTTTCATTTGACTTAGGAAGTGTTTGTTTTTTGTCTGCAGATCTATGTGGCCTCTTCTGTCTGCGCCGCGCAGACATTAGCCTTCGCAAGCTGTTTGTTTTTTGAAGACTGCAGACCTAAAAATGTATGCGCGCTCTTTTCTTGGCGCAGATGTGGACCAGTGTCTTCTAACATCTTCAGACATCTTCTAGCCTAAAAAAACATAAATATCTTTATTTTTTTAAAGTTTTTTTTTAATTTATATTTTTTCCAACTTTATTAATGATAAACAATTTGAAAAAAAAATCACAAAACTTAAAAAAAAAAAACGTTCGACGATACATACATGATATTTTTGACAAATTTATAAATAAAGATTTATTACAATAATAGTCGTTGAAGTTGTTTATATAAATATGAAAAAAAATCATAATATATTATTATATTTTTTTGCCAAATTTTGTAAAACATTATTTAATACAGTATCGTCAATTTCTCGAGAAAATATTTATGATACGTTTTTAATGGATTTAATTGAAAAAATCGAAGTTTATTTCCATCCATTTATGTATCAAATTCTTTGATCACTAATTATAATGTTTATTTATAACTTTGCAACCAAAGTTGTTGGTTTTTATCAAATATATACGTTAATTGATACCATTTTTATTTTTATTTTTTATACAATAATACATAAAAGTTGATCTAGATTCGTTAATTATTTATAACAAAGTCATAAAAATATTAAAAAAATCACTTTGAAGTTTAAAAAAATCATTTTATTTAGATTTCAGTTTATTTTAGTAGCCCGCAGATGTTAAAAAAACCAAACAGTCTTTTTTTTCAGACTGCAGACGTTTGGTCCACCTCTTCTACTGCAGAGGTCTACAAATGTGGTCCGCAGACTGCAGACATTTTGCCTAAAAAAAACAAACAACACCTTACCAAATAAGAGAATTAGTCTTCCTGGTTAATTATACGCTTGCACCGGTGAGTTGGACGTAACCACATGACTTCATCTTATTAGAGCATCTTTGTAGAATGTTCATAAAAAAGTTCAAAATGAAAAAAAAAGTTGTATAGTTGTATATTTGTAATTGGTTGAAAAATTCAAATTGGTTGCAAAACTATTAGACCTAATGTATAATTGAAAAAGCTCAAGAAAAGAACTTGTTAAGTTACAAGCTTTTAAAAAATCTTGAGTTTGAAAAACTCCAACTTATAACCTTTTCATTATTTCATAAGTTTGAAAAAACCGATACTGTGTATGCTCTTAAGTATATTAAAAACTAAAGACTAAACTGCACAAATGGTCCCTGTGGTTTGCTCAAAATTGCCACTTTGGTCCAAAAAGTTTTGGACTAGCATCATAGGTCCAAAGTTTTCGTTTTGTTGCTAGTTTGGTCCAATTTGTTTTGAACTTTTACATAATGACCATTTTGACCTTAGTTATTTATTTATTTAAATATTTTTCTGTTTAAAAGAAAAATAAAAAAAAGAGTAAATTTCACGAATGATCCCTATGGTTTAGGGTAATTTGCGCGTTTGGTCCCTAACTTATTTTTTTGACTCGGAAGGTCCCTACTGTTTGTTTTTGTTACACGTTTGGTCTCTGTCTTACATAAAAAGACTATTTTTCCATTGATTTTTTTAATTTATTTAAATAAACACACCCCACCCTCACCCCCTCACCTTACCTTAACTAACCCACCATTTTTCCCTATTTGAATAATAGTCTTTTTAGGTAAGATAGGGACCAAACGCATAACAAAAACAAACAATAAGGACCAAGTGCGTAACAAAAACAAATAGTAGGGACCTTCCGAGTTAAAAAATAAGTTAGGGACCAAGCGCGCAAATTACCCTAAACCATAGGGACCATTTGTGTAATTTACTCTAAAAAAAATTAAATTTTCTATTTTACTTTTATAATTTTTTTTTATAAAGGAATAAAAATAAATAAATAAAATATACAATCTCTCTCTCTCTCTCTCTCTCTCTCTCTCTCTCGTAAACAATAAAGACACACCTTAGTCTTCCTCCCTGACCTCCAAAAAACTTTGAACCCCATCTAAATTACAACCGGAAGCTGCCAGCACCACCTTCCGCCACCACCACCATCGGATGCCACCGACCAAGGTAAGTGATTTCCTGCCCCTACCCGATCAAAACCCACAGATCCACCGACATCCCTTCCTATCAGCAACCCTAAATAAGATTTGTGGAAATGAACCCCTATGCCTCCATTTTTTCCGGCAATACCATAACCACCACCGATTATCACCTCCCGTCTATTTCCTCCCTACGCCTCCAATGGTTGTTTCTTCCCCACGACCGATGGTTGTTGAACCTCCGCGACGATCATCATCATCGGACCTTGAAATCCACCAATTCTCCCTGAATATGAAATCTATCCTCACCACCCACCTACCCCTCTCTCTTTCATCCCATACGAACATACGAACATACCCATCTTCTTCCTTCTTCCTATAGAAAATCAATCATATGAACATACACACACTCTCAAAATTAAACCCTCTGCAAATCTATGATCTTTGATATAACATATAGAGGAAGAAGAAGAAACTAGGGTTCTTGAACCCATTGAAAATCCCCATAAAAAAGACCAAAAACACCATTCTCTTATTAAAAATCCCCATACCTTCTTCTTTGATTATGATTTCAACTTTCCTCCCTGTTTTGAAACGACTACGATACGCAGTTACAGTAAAATCGTTACTCACTCGATCAATCATCCAGGTATGCGTGAAGATCTTTATGTTAAAGGATTTGGGCCAGTTTCTCATTTTTTTCAATCTGAATCGATCACATGTGCTGATTGGTGTAAAAAAGTCGTGAAGAACAATTGATTTTGGGTGTAAACCATTGAACTGGGTATTCTGATGTAAGCTTCAACTCAAATTTTTGCAGATGACGAAAATGGAAGAAGATGCATCGACGTTTATATGAGAATGAAAGAAGATAGGGTTGTAGATTTTAGGGGGGGGGGGGGGGAGAGAGAGAGAGAGAGAGAGAGAGAGATTGTATATTTTATTTATTTGTTTTTATTCCTTTATAAAAAAAATTATAAAAGTAAAATAGAAAATACAATTTTTTTTTTATTTTTCTTTTAAACAGAAAAATATTTAAATAAATAAAAAACTAAGGGCAAAATGGTCATTATGAAAAAGTTCAAAGCAAATTGGACCAAACTAGCAACAAAATTAAAACTTTGGACCTGTGGTGCTAGTCCAAACCTTTTTGGACCAAAGTGGCAATTTTGAGCAAACCACAAGGACCATTTGTACAGTTTAGTCAAAGTTAAATTATTAGTTTACTTTTACAAAATTAAAGTAAAATTATTTGTTTATTAAGTTTTAAGTCATAAAAATAAGTTCTTATCTATTATTTTTTTTCGAGACATCTTAAAGAACCTTGTAATTTCGAATCATATTGTATTCGGTTTTTGCATTCTTCGAATTCCAAAAGATTTTCAAAATATAACCTATTCAAGCTTCTAATAATGACTTTATTAATATGATATTTTTTAAACTTTAAGGATACACAATAATAATAAAATGTTTCAGTAACCAAATAAAGACAAAGATTACATTGTATGTTCAACTTAATTAATTTATTTGCTAAAATTGTACAAATCTCTATAATATTATTCATGAATTTACCGAAACACCCCGTGAGACTTCTTTTTCTCATCGGTTCTTTATAAAACACATCTAAAATTATATAAATTTTAGATAAATCTTGGAAAATAGCAAATAGAATTAACATTTTTTTATCAAAACAAAGATATAAAAACAAAAGCCTATCAATCAAGAACACAAAAATTATATAATTCTAATGATACATTATAAATGCTTCAATCTTACACACACCACAAGAAACAAGGGCGTAGAGGTAATAATATGGTTTTATACATGGTACATTATAAGTATAACAACAATGACACATATCTTTTAATTAGCATCTAGTATAGCTAAATAATATTATATAACAAATTACAATACCTTATTAGTATGGACGTTCTCCGATAACATTTCCAACAGGATCATAGTTGCAAGTCATAAACACATCACCACTATCACAAACCACTCTAGCACACCCAACTCTTCTCGTTGTTTTCCAAACTATCTGCGTATAATGCCCACATTGTTGCCCAGATGCACACGTATTACTTCCATATCTATAATACTTCTCTTCTCCTGCCCATGTATTCACAGCATCCACCGGAGACCACGAAGATTCACTACCCCAAAAGATATTCTCTCCCAACTTGAAATCATCTTCAGGAAATGAATGCATCAACTCACAATCACCTTTTCTTTGTCCTGCCCACCATTGAGCGTATCTCTGAAGCTGGAAATCCCAAGCTAGCGGGATTTCCCACTTAGCTGCTCGAACTAAGTTTTGAGTAAACAAGAATTGTAATGATTCCCATGTACACCCGATGCAGAGTTGTTTGGAGGTTCTGTATACTGTTTCGTTGTTAGGTTTTTGGTGGAAAGTTGGGGATGGTGTTGAGGAGAGGGATGAAGTGAGGGAGGTTAAGAGGAGGATGGAGAAGAGAAGTAGAGAAGATGGTGTCATTTTTGGTAGCGGTGGTGGTCGGAGGAGGAGGAGGATGGAGTCCGGGCGGCGGGGAACGATTGGCGAGGGTAGAAGTGAAGTGTTAATTTATATGTTCATGTAAAAGAGAATGTGAAGTTCGAGAAGATGCGGCTGCAATTGATTGAGAAGGCAGCCTAGCGATCATGCAAAACCATGTGTGTAGTGGGGTACATTCCTCTGTCTTTGTCATATACACACTGAAACACACACACACACAAGTTAGACAATATTTTTGTGGTTTATTTTAAAAGAATTTAGTAATTTTGTATATTATCAAAGTAAATATTGTAGTTTTGGCCTTTGGGGAGGAAATATTATTTTCTTACTTCATGCATGTTATATTCACTTATTTAGATGAAAAATTACAATGAAACTGGTAATAAAGTAAAGAAAAACATGAATAGTACTTGTAAACTGAAAATGAAAATGTAACATACAAATACAAAATAAAGCTATTAACATTTTCATTCCAGACATTTTCTTTTTCTAATTCCTATATTTCACTTTTATTATTTATGTATACTTACTTAATTTATTGTAAATACATAACAAAAATTACATTATTTTTAACATAATATATAATATGATAATATTATCACTACTTTGAAATTATAAAAATAATGAATAATATTGATATTTATTTTTTTTATTTTTTTCACAAAAAGTAAAAAATGATTATTTATTATTGTATACTTTATTTAATACTTGTTTAAAATAAAATTATCTTTCTATGATACTTAAATAAAGGATTCATAAGTATTATTCACATTTGTAGTTTAATATATATTTAAACCAGACAAATTAAGTAATTGAATAATTTATAAAAATAAGGTTTATAAAGAATTATAACTTAAAAATATGGCTTTCCTAATATATTTGATCATAACTTAAGTATAATAGATTGAAATTACTTACTCATGTTTGTTTTGCTGTAGTTTGAAGTTATAACAGTTTTGTTTTGTTTTGTTTTTTTTTAATTAGTATTAAAGTTTATTTTATTTTAAATCCATATACCTTTTAATTAGTATATGTATACTTTATATTAATTAAAAAACAATTCTTTATAATATTCATAAATATAGATTAAACTTATCTTAATAAGAATATCATTTATAAAGATTTTATCTGATCTCTATAACTATATATTTGTTTGTGTACAAAATTGTATATTTAGAGCTTTAAAACTTAGGAGAACATAGATTATTATTTTCTTTAATAAAATTAATTAATAATTAAACATATTTTTTTCATCTCAATAAAAGTCTCATTATTTTGGTTTATTTTACGGAAAAGTCTTAAATTTATTTTTTTAGTCTCGATTACAGAGTAAAAAAAATCAAATCAATCATTTTGTCTCGTTTCACATATTTTACCTGATAGTGTGTCTTTTTCTGTAAAAAACGTAAGAATTTTTTGCAAATTTGGTTGAAATATTAAAACTTTTCTTAATATAATAACATAACTATGCGCAAAATCTTTTAGAAAGTTTTAATATTTTGATTAAATTTATGAAAAATTCTGTATGTTTTTCTAATAGAAGGTGACATATTAAAATATATAAAATCAGACAAAATAACTGATTTGAATTTTTACCCAAAACTTTTCTACTAAAAATAAAATTTAAGATTTTTCTATAAATTAAAACAAAATAATAAGTTTTTTTTTTCTTTTGAAGATTTTCCAATATTTTTTTTCCAAACACGTCTCATTATCAACAACACGATGAAGAACGGGTGGGGGTTAGTTTTTGTTGGTTGAACCCGTGAATTGTGTTGGAAGATGTGACGCGCCTCCATGTTTGTTGCGGCAATGTGACTGACGCGTGGCCTTCCAGATATTGTACGATTGTCTGCTTCTGTCACGGGACTACTCCATCCAACAATTTACAACAACAATTTACAACACCAAATTACACAAATGATATCTCTAAAAATCATATGCTTAATCTTTTTAACTCTTTCTTTTTCTTTCTTTTGACGTAAATGGTTTTTTCATTTCAATTTATGCTCGTGTTTGGTTCTTGAATAATGTCAAATAATACTTGTATTCTTTTTATTTTATTTTAGATTTTATTGTGTACTTTTTTATATAAATATTTTTGAAAAAAATTAAGATGAATCTCATCACTTCCCAACTTCGCCACAATAAAACTCTTCACTTCGTTTTGATTGATCACTACATTTATCCGTTAGTGTATTATATCGGTACGATATTGTCTTCTAAATTATAATATATGTTGGATTTTTCTCTCTACGTATGAATTCTTTTGAAGATGCAATATTAAAATTCACATATATTTTACATCCTCATCTTCGTCATCACTTCTCTCTTCCATCATGCCTTGGAATCTCGCCACCTGAAAACCCCACCATCCCAACAATCCCACCCCATCTCGACTTCATCTTCTCGTCTTTCCTCACCTTTGTGGTTTAATTTGTTGAGAACAAGCGGTCTTCAAAAAATTCAGAGTGTAGATCGAAATAGAGGATGATTCGTCATATACCAATTGCCTTTTTTGATAATGACGAAACATATCATATATAAGGAAAATCGTCACATAATGTTGCTAAGAAATTTAAACATAAGATTCATGATTGTAAATTCTATTTAATGTTGTTATTTTTTTTATTGCTATAACTTTTCCTCTATAAGCTTTTCCACCAGCAATGATTAAAATGGAGTAAGGTTTTACCTCTATACAAAATACTTGTTCGTATGAGAGCGAATGGAGGAGAATGATATTTGTATCGAGCACATCAACACTAATACTATGTTAGCGGATCCGATTAAGAAAGGTCTTATAACGACCCAATTTTCAAAAGAAAATTTTCATTTTTTAATTAACCAAATCATTTCCATAACATATGAAATATCAATGACAATTGTTTTCAAAAATCCATAATATCAACATTTTATTTTTAATATCAGAGTGTCCCATCAAAACAAATGCCGAAGAGTGCATGCCGCACCATCAAGCCTTGCCATTTCCCTTGGGCTCAGATGTACCTGAAACAAATCCACAAACTGTAAGTTAATGCTTAGTGAGTTCCCCAGAGTATACCCTACACAATCCACATAATCGCATAATCATATTTGCTATAAAAGCTACATAAACCACATAAGCCATGCATACAACATATAGGGATGTCGTGGGCTCATCCCCAGGGTCTTACTCCAGGATGTCATGGGCTCCCCACATGGTCTTACACCTAAGTGTCATGGGCTCTCCCATGGTCTTTAATAGGAAAGTCATAGGCTCTCCACATGGTCTTACATTTGGTTGCCATGAGCTTAGGAAAGCCATGGGCTCTCCACATGGTCTTACATCCAGGTGTCATGGACTCTCCCATGATCTTCCATACAAGCATACCACACATACAACTAGCATACTTCCTAGCACATAACCAACTATCATGCCTCATAAATATAACTTCAGCTAGTGTACCACATATCATAAAATGAGTCGGCATTGGTGCCTTAGACCCATTGGTATGGTGAGGAGACTCACCTTTGTCTGCTGAATCCGAAAGCTGCTCTCCTAATAGTCTGTAACCACCCGCGCTGAAAAATAATAACATTAACCAAGGTTAGGACTGAACACAATCCATTTCAAGAACCCAAACCCCAAGTCCTTTCACAATGGCCCAAAAAGTCTTCCTTTGCTAATGGGCCCAAAGTCCATGTCTAAAATCATTAATGGGCCTCATGGCCCAATAAAGCCCAACCATAGTATCCATGGCCCAAAACAGATAAGATGACCCACTAACTCCAAAACGTGACCAGGCCCAATGACTAATTAAGGCCCAAAAGCATACACGCCCAAAACAAGTCCGAGCCCATCTGAGGTGCGTACGCCTTGCATACCACCCTGGTACGTGCAGCGTACTGAGTCCCTGAGCTGTACGCACGGCGTACTCTAACTTATTCCCGACGTACAAACAAATTAAGAACTTTCTTCCATTAAGTGCTTAATACTCGATTTATAACGTCCAATATTAGACTTGAGCTCATTAAGACGTCCTAGGGCATTAAGTTGGCAACTTTATGCCCTTGCATGCTATATGGGACTTAAAAACTTAATTCTTCACATTAGGACTTCATATAAAGATTCAAACTCATGTATGGAGTCTAGATACTCTTCAAGTTATCACCTTTATGCATCTAGCATGCTCACAAAGTTCAGATCTAACCATTTCAGCCTCTGGAGTTGCTCAACTCTCAAGAGAAGGTCCAAACCCAACTAAAAGGACAAAATAGAAAACCCTAGCTAGATATAATGAATAAGATGACAAGATCAAAGCTTTAAATCTCCAGAAGCTCTTCAAGGTGAACTAGATGCAGATCCTTGAAGCCTAATGCCACTCTAATCTTGCTTAGCAACTCCTTCTTCTTGAATGGACACTAAAATGGCCACAAATACACTCCTTAAGCTCAAAAACACTCTCACAAAGTATCTCTGGTGTAGAAGGGTGAAATAAGACTAGGGAGGCTGACTAGGGTTTAGTCTAAGAGGCTTTAGGGTGTTTAAATATGTGTCAAGTCCGAGAATTAGGGTTTTGGCCCTCTGTCGCGTACGCCCCGCGTACCTCCACGTATGCCCTGCGTACGCGGCCACCCTCCGCGATCATGCATCCTTAGTACGCTAAGTGTACCCCTGGAGTACGCCCCGCGTACTAAGGGACCTTTTATGCCATCTTTTCTCTTTTCAAGGGTCTAATGAGTAATACCTGATTTGGAGTGTTACAGGTCTAGCCCAAAACACTTCAACATGTCATCGGTATGGGTATAAGGCTAGACCTATACAATATAATTCTAGCATAGTGCTTAAATGAAAATTTAAAACATCTTAGTTATCATCGTACCACGAATGAGAAGGCAAACATACAACAAATTGCGCCGTTAAGCCTTTTTGTATGGTAAAGCCAATTCTTTTGAAGACTACATCCATAGATTTAGGAGATATAACATTGCTATGCATT